TTGAAGGCTACCTCCCAAGACCCATTGCCTCCGGTTTCAGCCCTTTTGAAAGGACACCTAACAGTCTTGAATCTCCCTCCAGCCCCCAAGGAGCTCTCCCACACACACACATACTGGGCCTTGGGCTGTCTCCCAGGGTGGACATGTTGACACTATGCCAAGGCTGGGGAAGGCACAACTAGAAACCAGAGACACCTGCAGGAAGTGCCAGGGACCAGATCGAGGCTTCTAGGGAGGCTCTGTGGGTATAGTAACCCCTATTGCTCTGGGAAAGCCCCAACAAAGATGAGGTCGGAGCAAAACCAGTTCAGAAGCCTGGAATGCCAGGCTCTTCCCATGGAAAGGGATGAGGAAAAGACTCTGAGAGTGACTGTGTGCAGCACTGAATTAACAGAGCGGAGATAGAGGAGGTGTGCAAGCACTTGGGGCAGCAAGTACCCTGTGTATTGAAAAGCCTCTCTGGGTCTCTCAGGGACCCATGCAGACCACCTGCTGGGTGGTGCAGCCGGGTAAAGCAGCATCTGGGGTCAGGTGAACTTGAAAGAAGGGGCAAGGCTGTAAGGAGAACTTAAGACTTACAGTTCCAGAGACTGTAAGAACCAGAAAAGAACACAAGGCAACCAGTACTGATGAAGCCCTACTATGTGCAGGCACTTCACTCTCTCTCAGGCATCATTCTGTTTAACTCTCACACTGGTTCCTATGCTAAAAAAGATGAAACTGACGCAGCGGGACTGAGGGCTCCGGATCACTGAGCTATGGCACAGGACTGCAATAAGCTGGCCTGGAAACACGTTCATGACAAGAACTTTGAAAGCCAAGAACAGGACACTGTGGGAAGAACAAGGAGGGACTCTTTCTTTACATAGACTGGTAAGGGACCATCTCCTTGAGGAGGAGTCATCTGAGCTGAGGCCTGAAGAAATCAGCCAAGTGAACAGTGGAAAAATCCATTCCAGTGAAGTGAAACAGCATGTGCAAACGTCCTGAGCCAGAAAAGAATGCGACAGTCTTTCAGTCTCCAAGGAACTGAAAGGAGCCAGTGTGTCTGGGACATTTTGAGAATAAAAAAGGGCCTGCAGAAGACACTAGATCATACAGGCTGTAGCAAGGAGTTCAGATTTCAACCCATGCGCCAGGAGAAGCCAGCAGAGGGATTAAGTGCCAAAATGACAGAGTATGATCTACCCACAGCCTAGCACAGAGTTTGTCACACAAAAGGGGATGAGTCAAAGGTCGTGGAACATCTGAATAAATAGACTTAAACTAGACTTCCAAAGGATGGAAACACTGGTTTTACAAAAGGGAAAGTAAGATTTCAGTTTTTGCCCATGAGAAGAACAATTTTGCCTAATCCAATCCAGAGAGCCACTTTCATGCCTCTCTGCCTAAGAAGCACGCAGAGCAGCTAAAATCCACAGGCACATCATGACAGAATAATTTCAGTGATCACTATCAAATGCCTCTATTTAGAAAAACTCAGAAGATTGTATTGGTACAATCCATTATTTATGAAATGACAATCTGCCATAACGAGGGGCTGAGAAAATTAAGATTAAAAGCAAGTGTTACTCCTTTGGGAAGAGAGATTGGCATGGTGGGAAAAGCAATGTCACTCGGCTTCTTAGAACCTTAGTTTCCTGATCTGTAAAATGGAAGGATTGTAAGAAGGATTAAAAATTCACTGTCAGTCAATAGAGGGCCCAACAGCATTTCAAGATGCTTATCATTCTTCATTTAAAAAACACCTGATAGTGAAGTAAATCAGAGAAAGACAAATACCCTATGATTTCAGTTACACATGGAGTCTAAAAAACAAATGAATAGACAAAAAGCAGAATCAGACCCGTAAGTACAGAGAATAAACTGATGGTTGCCAGAGGAAAGGGGCTGTGGGGTGTGCACAAAATGGGTGAAGGGGAATGGGAGATACGAAAGAATGACCAGGTCATGAGGATGAAAGGCACAGCACAGGAAATACAGTCAACGTACGGAGAGAGATGTTGGTGAGCACAGCATAACATACAGACTCGTTCCATCACTATGGAGTACACCCAAAAGTAATATAACATTGTACGCCAACAATGTATGCACTTCAACTCAAAAAAGAAAGAATAAGCAACGGAGAGCAAACAAAATTTTTAAATAAAAAATAAAATACACTTGATAAAGGCCATTTGGCCATCCATCCATGCATCCATCCAACGGAAGGTTATTTTGTTCATACTATGTACAATGCCCTGTATTAAGCACTAAGATAAAGCTATGAACAAGGGTGCCTGGCAATAGCAACTTGGCCCATGCCGTCTACCTCAATGGGGAAGAGTGCCCCCCCTGCCTGCCCCAGCACCTACTGGGCCACCTTCTGCCACCTGCAGCCTGGTACCCTCTATCAGGCCCGAGTAGAGGCTCAGCTCCCATCTCGAGAGTCCTGGGAACCAGGCTGGGAGAGGCTGGATCAGCGGGCCGCCACCCTGCAGTTCACCACACTCCCGGCAGGTACACAGGCTTGGCCTTGGGCTGCCCCTAACACCCAGAAGGCCGGGCTGAGGGGGTTCCCGGGAAACTGCAAAGTAGGCTGCTCTCTCGAGGTGAGCGTGGTCCCCAGGCACACAGAATATCTCATGTGGGGGTAAAACATACACTGAACAAACAACATGCACTGTGACCTCCATTCTTGAGAAAAAGCGTAGGATGCGATGACCCAGGCTCAAGTGTCTTGGAAGTGCTATGTCCTAAGGAAGTTGGGGTTTCTGCTGAGATACGAAGGGGAAGAACAAGAGAATGAGGTGGAGGAGAAGGTTCTATGGAGAGTGGTCTTTCCTGACAAGGAACATGGCAAAGCAAGTACACCGGGAATGGGAGATGGAAATCAGGAGCTCAGTTTAGGATCTGTTGAGTTTAAAGAGCATACAAGATCCTACAGGTGGGCTAAGGAGAAGCAGGAAGAGCATATGTGTGTGCATGCAAAACACAAGCACGTACTAGAAGATCTGGATGTATCTGGCCAACCACAAAGATGGCCAGGCAAAACAGAGCATGTGGTACATTCCAGCAGAGTGCTCTGGACTCTGTGGGTCCCTAATGGAATGAGTGATTCTATCATCTAAACCAAGACACTTCTGAGAATAAAGTCAGCAGTGTTAAAAAGGATGATGGGGCAACAGGCATACAGGTTGTCCCTCGGTCACCTTATGAAGGGGCGTGGGTAGTTGTGGATGACTCTGTCATGCCAAGTAAGATCCTACCAGATCTGCAAAGCTCAATTTTGTACCATAGCACCGACTTATTTTACCTGGGCTGGTATCTACACTCATGAAAAACTTATACAACCATTTACGCCCTTAACTGGAACTATACAGAACCATCCAGTAGCCTCCTGCTTTGGAGCCAAACTCACAGTCACAGAGGCCACACAGGCCACACCCTTACCTGAACAACCCTGAGCATCTTCCCTGTCTCCAGCCTAGTGGTATCCTGTTAGACTCCCCTCCCCAGAGGACAGCAAGCACAAGTGGCAGCCAGGCAGTGGGGGGTGTAGGTCTAGAGTTCACACAAGATGGCTGATGGCAAATGAAGGTACAGGAAGAGTGGAGGCCATCCAGAGTGTGATGGTTAAGGTTGTACATCAACTTCCCTGGGCTATGAGATGCCCAAATCGCTGCTAGAACATTATCTCTGGGAGTGTCTATGAGGGTATTTCTAGAATAGATTAACATTTGAATTGGCAAACTGAGTAATGCAGACAGCCCTCCCCAACATGGCAGGCATCATCCACTCCCTTGTGAGCCCAAACAGAACAAAAAGGGAAAGGTAGAGTGAATTCATTCTCTCTACTTGAGCTAAGGGCATCTGTCTCTCAAACATCAGTGTTCCTGGTTCTTGGGATTTCGACCTCCCGTCAGAGTGTACACCATCAGCCCCAGACTCGGACCAAATTACACCACTGGTTTTCCTGGTTCTCCAGCTTGCATACAACAGATCATGGGACTGCTCAGCCTCTATACAGTGTGAGCCAATGCCTGTACTAAATCTCCTCTTAAATATATCTCTCTATATATATCCTATTGATTCTGTTTCTCTGGGGAACCTAATACACATGGAAACAGTATAGAACAAGCCTGAGATCTCCCGTATTTAAACAGTACAGAACAAGCCTGAAATCTCCTGTATTTAGTGGCCAAAGTGAGGAAGGGTGCCAGAAGGTGTTGGGGAAAAAAAAGAAGACAACGTGTGGGTTAGAGGAGCCCTTGCGCAGGAAGGAACCACAGACACGACATCCCCTCTCCGACAACCAGAGGTCTTTACCGCTGAACCTGAGATCACACATGCAAAGAGGTGATCCTCATGTTCCCAGAATTGCAACACTTCCTGGCTTATGTCCCCAGGTAAGCCTTTTCAAGAGTCCAGTCACCCAGGCATACCCCACCCTAAATGTATTCTGAGTGTCCCTCTTCTAGGCGTATCTTCCCTAGAATACATCAGATGTCTCTCTCATATGCCTGCCACAAGCAGCTATCCATCAAGAAAATACATTAGCCCTTTAGCCCCACTGGGTAAGGATAAGCTGCGCATTCAGGATGTCAGGACATTAACTTTATGAGTAACAGTCTGTGCCAGTTTCCCTAGATATATGTGTGTCTGTGTCCTGGAAGAAAAGGGAATGACTTCATTCTTCAGACTTTCTCTCCCATAAAATCCAACTACTATTAAGTTCCCAAGCAAAACCCAGGGATGCCCTAACTTGTAGCTAAATCTTAGACTCTTAAAGCTGAAAGAAATGCTCAAGGTTCCTGAATCTAGGTGAAATGTGATTCCTACCACATACCTTAAGAATTCACCAAGCCTTGGTTTGAACAGCCCTGGGGACAGGGAATTACTACCAGTGAACCTGTCTACTGCCCTCTCAGACAGCTCAATCCCTAAGAAAGTTTGTCCCCACAAGCCATCCAAAGAGTGAGTCATCCTCATCACAGCCTCAAACACAGGGGATCACGTACCTGTGGGCACCGCTGGGTCCAGCATTGGTTTTTCCCACGTGTTAATCTGCTCCCACGTAAACCCATTGGTCCCCAGGGCCACGCTATAACCACAGTTGCCGTAGTGCTCATCAAAGGAACAGCCACCTGCAGACAAAAGAGAGAGGAGTGAATACATCCTTGTGTTTGAGGCTTGGCTCGTTACCCCCGTCTCATCAGCTCTTCATTTACAGCTTCGAATGTTAAACTCTGGAGATTTAAAAAAAAAAAAAAAAAAAAAAAAGGCAAGCAAATTGGATTTTTACATTTGTTTTGGTGCTCTCGGGAAAGGCGCTGGCATCTGCAGCCCGCCCCCCCCCCCCACACACACACCATTTAAAAAAAGTTAATAAGGCCAGTTACATTGATTTCAATCTTCCTTCCTGAGAAAGTAAACAGCAACGCCTCATTCTAAGCAGGAAAAAGGAATGCCAAGGCATGGCTCTCTGATTGTTTCCTGCCACAGGGAGAGACACTGGGGACAGCAGAGAGAGCGCCAGCCCCAGAGCCCGGTCAGACCAGCCACAGATCTCAGCCGTGCAAATCCGGGCCAGCTGCGGCCTCGCCTGCATCTTGGTCTCCTCACCTGTGATACAGAGGGAAGAGCCACTGGACAGGATCACCATGAGGATGAAATGGGGTAACATACATAGAGTAACTGGCACAGAATAAATTCTCCACATCTATCCCCTTCCCTAGAAAAGCAGTTTGTGAAAACTCACGTTTCATGGCATAAAAATCAAATTTGTGGAAGAATCAGACAATCGTGAACCTGGAAGATAGTGAAGTCAATGCTCATAGTGTTTAAAGTCATCCACCTTTTTATAGGAAGCTGTATCAGTTCAATTCTGACAAGGATTTACTAAGCATACGCTTAGGGGGCTGGAGGTCCCCTCCGAGTGATGCTGACAAAGATGCAGGGTACAGAACCAGGGCTCCAAGGAGGGAATGCTGGTCTGTCCGGAGAAACAGGCGCCATGACATCCTGAAGGGGGACTGATCAAGGCTCTGGAGGATCCAGCATCTCCGTGGACCAAGAACAGGAGGAAGGGCATCCAGGGTGAGCTGGTGGGACACAAAGGCGGCAGCCTCCTGACTCGTCTCCCAGACCCAGTTTCACACCCAACCCACTTTGCCACTGCCCCCCATTTCCTTGATGCTCAGGTCTCATCACAGCACCATCTCCCTCCCTTACACACTCATGCTTCCCCATCACCCGTGCACATGTGGTTCCGATCCACGTACAGAAGCCATCCCTCACTAGCTCCAGCCTGCGTCTACAGCCTCCCCTAACATCACACTGCCTTCTCCACCAGCTGCCAAGGAAAAAAGCCCCTCTCTGCACCCCAGGCCTGGGATGTCCTCTGCTTAGCGGGGTGGAAGTCCTGCTGACAGGTATAATATGGAAGACAGTCACACCACCACTAAAAAAAACCCTATGATGCCAAAGGCTTTCTCTACTTTCCTTCCTTACTGTGAATGAGAACCCGTAAGCATTGGCCCTTAGCACCCCAATTTGGAGTCTTGGCTGGGCTGAGGAAAGCTGGACCTACTTTGGTAGTACAGGACTTCGGGCTTGAGTAGAGAGTATTCAATAACTTTGTCCTAAAAAGTAACAGGAATTTGCAGTGTCTTATGTAAGTACCTAGATTAAAAAGCTGAGGAGAGGGGGAGAGGAATGCGAGAAACAATAAAAAGCAGAAACCTACAGAAGATGTCAGCCAGTAAGAAATTTCCTCTGATGGAAACTGCCTGATGCCTTGGTAAAAATTAAAATACATGATTTCATTTATTCATTCTTCAACAACTGTTTTTTTTTTTTTTAAAGAAATATTTATTTGAGAGTGCACACGTGCATGAGCACGAACAGGGAGTGGGGAGGACAGAGGAGGAGAGAGAGGGTCTCAAGCAGACTCCACCCCAAGTGTGGCACCCAACGCGGGGCTCAACCTCACAACCCCGAGATCGTGACCTGAGCCAATATCAAGAGTCAGACACTTAGGTATATATACACAATGGAATATCATGCAGCCATCAAAAGGAATGAGATCTTGCCATTTGCAACGACGTGGATGGAACTGGAGGGTGTTATGCTGAGTGAAATAAGTCAATCAGAGAAAGACATGTATCATATGACCTCACTGATATGAGGAATTCTTAATCTCAGGAAACAAACTGAGGGGTGCTGGAGTGGTGGGGGGTGGGAGGGATGGGGTGGCTGGGTGATGGACATTGGGGAGGGTATGTGCTATGGTGAGCGCTGTGAATTGTGCAAGACTGTTGAATCACAGATCTGTACTTCTGAAACAAATAATGCAAGATATGTTAAGAAAAAAGAAAAAGAAGAAGATAGCAGGAGGGGAAGAATGAAGGGGAGTAAGTCGGAGGGGGAGACGAACCATGAGAGACGATGGACTCTGAAAAACAAACTGAGGGTTCTAGAGGGGAGGGGGTAGGGGGATGGCTTAGCCTGGTGATGGGTATTAAAGAGGGCACATTCTACGTGGAGCACTGGGTGTTATGCACAAACAATGAATCGTGGAACACTACATCAAGAACTAATGATGTAATGTATCGTGATTAACAAAACAATAAAAAAATCTGCTCTGAAAAAAAAAAAAGTCAGACACTTAATCAACTGAGCCACCCAGGCACCCCAATTCAACAACTGTTTAACTGAGCAGTTAGTGCAGATTCCAGAGAGTCCGAGGCCCTAGCTATACAGTGGTTCACAGAAGCAGCCTGCTAGTGCTCTTCAGCAACACAGACTGATGGTAAACAAGTCAATGAATAAACCTGCACACATTTCAGCACCGTGCCACAGAGGCCACGGTTGGAGTGCGGGAGAGGAGCCTACTAGCTTGGGGCCGCGGAAAGAGTGCCCTAGTCTGTGCCCTCCTGTCCCTCCACTACACCCAGCTCCTCGGGGAGAGCTGGCCACACAGGGCAGCCGTGTGCTGCTGGTAATTCAGGGAACTGAGGGAAGAAGGGCGATGACCATTGTGCACGGACAAACGTCAACGGGCAAGGACGGGAGGCCCAGGAGATGAGAGGAAAGGGTTGGAGAGGACACTTCACCCCGGGTACAGTGGAGAAGGATGGGCTTTGAAAGGCAAGGTGGGAGGCACTCAATCAACGTCCACCAGACAGTCAGCGTCAGAATGGCTGGGAACAGCTCTGGCACATAGTAGGGCTTAAATATCTGTTGAATGAATGAACCAATAATGTTAACGGGACGCCTGACAGACGGAGCTCTGTTTCAGTAACAGCGACAGTGAGCACAGAGCCCCCGGCACTCAGCCTGCCCTTCTGGGTCTCAGCCTCGCCCCTTCCACCTAGGAAGCTCATTCCCCACACTGCCTGACAAATCCCAAGTGATCCTCCCAAATCACTTCTACAAACTTCCCAACCAGAGTAGAGTGTGAATGCCCCAGACACACGACGTTTACAATTTAAAAGCAATTACGGCAGCAGGTGTGCTGTTGTTCAGAGAGCTAACCACCTTCCTCTACATCTCCCTGCCATCACCTGCCAGGGGCCCCCAGACAAATAAATCGGGTCCATGCCATGGACAACAGATCCTGACGTGCTGGAATTGATAAGCGAGGGGTGCCTGCAGCATCTCCAGACCTTAGCATCCTAAACGGAGATCAGCCTCCAGGCTGAGAGAAGAAAAGAGTGGCCAAGACCATGCTACATGTATGGCAAACTGTTTGGATCTTCTCTCTTGTGCATACAAAAGAGGGGGCACCTGGGTGACTCAGTTGGTTGGGCATATGCCATCCGCTTGGGTCATGATCCTGGGGGCCTGGGATGGAGCCCCATGTCGGGCTCCTTGCTCAGCTTGGAGTCTGCTTCTCCCACTCCCCCTGCCCCTCCCCCTACTCGTGCAAACTCTTTCTCAAATAAATGAAATCTTAAAAAAAATTCTCTCTCCCCCTTTCCCTTTGCCCCTCCCAAAAGAAAGAAAGAAAGCAAGCAAGCAAGCAAGCAAGCAAGCAAGCAAGCAAGCACTATGTCTCCAAGCCACTTCCATCTGGGTAGTAAGACCGGGTAGTAAACCCTAGAAACATGTAACAAAGTGATATCCATCACTTGCAGGCTGCATGACCAGCCCGTAAAAATGACCTCTTACAAACAATCCACCTCACCTGCCCCTGCTGTGAGGAACTTCAAAACTATAGGGGAAGGCAGTGGCATCAAAGGAAAAAAGATGTCTAGATCCCTAAGACACTCACTGGAAGGAGCCAACCATTAAGCTTCCCAGAGCAAAACAATGTGTCTTATGTTGCTGACACCTTAGGGGTTAAGTATGACCACAGCAGAACCTTCTGCACCCTGACGAATATAAGCAGCACACTCTCTCGAGCATCTGCTCCATGCCAGGCAATATACTAGACACAGACTGCATATTTCATCTCATTTGCTTTCACTTAATGCTTGCAACCTGGTGAGGTAGGTTATTATCCCTACTATAAGTACAAGGTAATTAATGTATGGAGGGGTTAAGTGGCCTTCTCAACTCACACAGAAGGGAGTGTTAGAGCCAAGATTAATTCTGTGGTGACCTAACCACACAACCCCATGCTCTAATAGACCAGAGAGAGAATGTATTCCCCCAAACCAAGGACCAAGCCTTTCACTTATAAGGTTATAAGAGAGGATCACACAAAGGGCTTCCAAGGTGGTTGGACCTCCCATTAGAATGCATTCCTTTGCTCATTCTAGAAACATTTAACAAAGTTGTTTTTTTGTTTGTTTGTTTGTTTACGTGTTCTGTGCAGGAGCACAGAATTGACAATTAGAATTCTTACACGCATGTAGTTGGCAGAGTGCAGGGAAAGAGAGCCACATCAACATACATCCAAGGTGCAAAGATGCAAAAAACACCTTCACGGGGATGTGTTGAAGCCCAAAGATCCCATTCAAAGGAGGGTGTTTAACTGATCCCTGACCTATCCTCTATCAACTCTAGCACTACCACTCACAATCCCACTGTGGCTTGATGAACACGGAAGCAGGAAATCCAGCATGTTAGGCATGATGGCAAAAAACAACTGAGAACAGAGAAAGAAAAAAGCTGTTTCCTACACGTCTGCCTGCTAAAA